GACTGGGAAAACAGCAAGTTTCTATATAGTTGGAGGATCCTAATACTGTCCCAGTGCTGTTGGTCATCGCCTCTGTGCCTTTCTTCTCCTTTTCCACTCATACCTCAGACATAGTCACCTCCTTGGCCTCATGACTTTGCATCCAGTATGGTCTCCACCAGCATTATACAATTCACCTTCCATTTAGTGATAAGTCTAATTAGGAAAATATACAAAAATAATATGAAATAAAACTGATAAAGGCTATATATTTCATTCTCTTGCTTAGGACTTTGACCAGGGAAGCAGTAGGGAGTAGTGGACATAGAGGGAAAGGCATTAAAGAACAATTCCCTTAGATAAGAGATGGAAAACCATCACAAAAACTGCTGCCTCCAATTTTCCAGTAAAGTGCTTGTGAATACTTCTGAATTGATGTCATGTGTGGGTAATATTAAGGGAAAGGGAGTATGAGGTGCCCACGGTAGTCACCACCACCATATCTATTCTGCATTCCTCCCAAAGGGCCATTTCTTCCTCTAAGCCAGCTTCGGTCCCCATGATATACCCCAGCTCCCAAGCTGGCAGCCAGGAAGATGGAGGGAGACACAGTCATGTGGAGGCACAGCAGGTACAGGAGCTCCTGATAGGAGCCATAAGGGGTGACCTGTGGACATCATGGTCTAAGATATAGTCTCTGTGCAAGTTAGCTGGCAAGAAAGGAGAGGGCTTTTGGAGTCATCTGCTGAGTACCAAGTACGTTTTATGGGGAAAGTAGATGTTGGAGAAAAATCACTCAGCAATGGCAGTGGTAAACAAGTAGCTTTAGTAGTGCCATGAGGCCTCACTGGAAGGCAGGCACTAACTCTGCAGACACTTTAGTGTCAGAACCAGGATCCAGATGGGACTTAAGGCTTAACTGTCTCCACAACCACCTGCTCCATCCCTCACTGTGTCATTACTTCACTGATGCTGGCAACAAATCTTGCAATCATCCTCTGTCTTATGGTTTCATGGTAACAGTCCATGTTCCATGTCAACTTTATTGCCACATCCAGTTTTAGTGAAAATAGTTATTTTATATACAATAGGATACTCTCAATATTTGGAAAGTCAAGCTCCTTTTCTTCCCCCATCCTTTTCTTAAATGCCTATTTTGACAACCTTATCTAACAGATCCAACTCATTGGAATTCTGACCCTCCCTTCCCCACTGGCCCTGGGGCTTGCCATTCATCTTGCAATTCAGTCTTGGTGGTGATGGCCATAACAGTTTGATGTTTCACCAAAACCTGATTCATGGTGGCCTGGCCACATGTAATTTTTAATGTAAAGTTTGTACTTATGATTACTTGACAACAAACAATACATTTCAAAGAAAAATACTATATTGGGAAGCAGAAGGTCAGGTTTAAAGGGGAAGACACACTGGCCTCGCCTGTGATCTACATCAACATACCAGGAGTAATCCTTAGATACTGCTCATTTCACTCAAGTGACAGAAAGTGGCACCAAGGAGAAATTATGTAAATAATGTAAGTTGAAACTGAACATTGCTTTAATGTGAGAAACTTAAATGTGCTTGCTCCATGACTAACTTGAAATAGTTCTGAGTTGGGAGCCAGGGAAGTGCAAGAGCAGATGAAACTATAGGTGGACAAATACATGGTTTTTCATATTTTGGTTGACAGTTCATTTAGGACCATGGTTTCAGATTCTTTAAATTCTGGCTTGGGAATCTGACAAAATTATTTTCCCAATAAGTTTGTAGTATTTCTGAAAACAAAAGTGAATATCTGATTTGGTTGTTGCCTAGCTCAAGTTTTGGGGACACAATTTATCTAGACCCTTCAAGAAAATCACTCTGCTCTCTAGGCAACATAATGGGAGCAGCTTTGCTCCTCACCCTCCCATCATGATATTCTGATGCATCATGGGGCATAAACAACAGTCAGATGAGGAAAGCCTCTTTTCTTTTTTTTATAGACAGATATTTTCTTATTTACAATGGGGTAAACATGATAAAAATGGAAAGATAAAAATACAAACAGTTCAACCATTTAAAAAGGGAAAGACTTTAAATCATTCAGAATATGCACAATGATTAAAACCTTATGCACAGATACACAGGAACTGATTGTTTTTCTCGTAGTATTTTCCCAAAGTAAACATACCAGGCTTTAACTAGCGTGTATGAATCCTTTGAATGTTGAGTGGTCTATAAAGTTTTAGGTTACATTTACAGTTTCCTTATGATAAACATTGCATGTATTTTCCCTACATTTAGGTTGCAGTAATTAAGTATGCTCTATCAAAGCAGTTGGCTTCTTTTCTGTAAATTTTGAGAGAATTTTTTTTCTGAAGGTTCCTGCTTTGGCCAGGTGGCTAGAATGTTGTTAATTATATTTTAGTTAAGTACATTCTTTTCCTTGAGTTTTAGTTACATCCTGTTAATTAAACCACATCCTTTTGATTGTGAACCTGAGCTCAGCAATGTGAGCAGGAAGGGCAGGCCTGTTAGGTTAGGGATAAAAAGGGAGCAGCCTGTCTATCTATTCTATGTGCTTGCCTGCCAGGGTTTTGGCTGATGGTGCACCCTTCTGCAGAAGAAAACTTAGCCTTACTGAGTTCATTTCGAGTTGGTGTGTTTATTTCTATGTGACACTCTAACATATTTGTAACACAATGGACTGAAACCTCTGTAACTATTAAGTAAATCTTTCCTTCCTTAAGATGTTCTCTTAGGTCTTTGTCACAGCAATACAAGGTCTGACTAACACATATCAGAGATATAAACTTCTAACAATTACCATGGAAACAACTCAGTTAATTGTTATTCATGTGTACTTCCAGTCACTCCTCTCCCACTATACTCCATAGTACTCCCATCTTTTGCAACCTAACCATTCTTTCAGCAGCTCTGTAGCAACTTCATGCTAGGTATAGAAAACTAGGAACTAATTGGACTAATTGGACTGTATGTCTCAGCCACTATCATTTCAGGTTGCAGACTAATAAATCTAACAATAATAATCATTGATTTAAACCTAAGAAAAAATTGTTTTCATCTACTTTTTTTTTTGTCAGTCATGGGGCTTGAACTGTGGGCCTGGGCGTTGTCCCTGAGCCTTTAAGCTCAAGGCTAATGCTCTATACTTGAGCCACAGTGCCACTTCTAGTTTTCTGGTGGTTTATTGGAGATAAGAGTCTCATGGACTTTCCTTGCCTCCACTGGCTTTGAACCACGATCCTGAGATCTCAGCCTCCTGAGTAGCTAGAATTACAGGCATGAGCCACCAAAGCCCGGCCATCTACTTTTTTTTTTTTTGTGAGTCGTGGGGCCTGAACTCTGGGCCTGGGCACTGTCCCCTCAGCTCTTCAGCTCAAGGCTAGCACTCTACCACTTGGAGCCTTAGCGCCACTTTCAGCTTTTTCTGTTTATGTGGTGCTGAGGAAATGAACCCAGGGCCTCATGCATGCAAGGCAAGCACTCTACCACTGAGCCACCTTCCCAGCTCCATCTACTCTTTTTTTGAACTCTGGGCCTATGTGCTGCTCTGAGCTTCTTTCTGCTCAAGGCTAGCACTGTTCCACTTGAGTCACAGAGCCACTTCTGGATTTTTGTAAGTAGTTTATTGGAGAGAAGAGTCTCATGGACGTTTCTGCCTGGCTGGCTTCAAATCGTGATCCTCATATCTCAGCTTCCTGAGTAGCTAGGGTTACTGGCGTAAGCCACCTGCACCCAGCTTATTCTGTTCTTTTTCAGCCCCTTTCCATTTTATTCTTAGGCCACTGAAGGATTAAAAAGTACCTGTCATCAAACACAGAGTCTTTCCTGGCGGCCTCACATGCTATCATGTCCTATAGTACCAGTGTAGATGAAAGTCTTTACCTAACCTATTTAGTGCTATGGATTATGAACCTTTTTTCCCCCCTATTGCTCCTGAGGATTGAACTCAAGGCCTAAGCACTGCCTCTCAGCATTTTTGCTCAAGGCTAAAACTCTCCCACTTGAGCCACAGCTCCATGTTGGGTAGTTTATTGGAGATAACAGTCTCATGTACTTTCCTGCCTTGGCTAGTTCTGCCTGCACTGCTGAACTAGGATACTCAGATCTCAGCTAGGATTACAGGCATGACCCAATGGTGCACTAACATCTTATTACAACAGCAGATATAAATGTAGTATGAGAAAGAATGGCTATTCAACCTCACCGATTCAACCACTTTTCTTCAGCTTCCTTATTTAACAACATTATACTGGATATTATCATCTTCCTTAAGTTACTACTAAGTTACCTTGTCAACAAGACCAAGCACAATCTTCATGTAGTGAGGGGGAGGACAATTACATGTCTCATTTGTGTTTTAACCAGGGGAAGTGTTGCCACCTGGCCTGAAGAGAAAATCAGTAGGGAGAGCAGACTCATCTAAAGAGTCACTACCACGGGATGGCTGAGCTAGTGAGGATTTTTACCATGGATATAATGCACAATACCTAATTCCTGGGGGCATGGTGAGGATTAACTGAGGTGAGATTTTCAAATTGACTTCAGCATGCAGCCTCACCTTTTCTCATTTTTGTTCACAAGGGCCCAAGAGAGGAGAGAGATAGGGTTACTCTCTGGTAGCATATGAGGAACATGAAGTGTGTTTATAAAACCACACGATCTGTGTTGTTTTAGACTGACAGGGCACGGGTGAATTAACCTCCATGGCTGCTGCCTGTGTGAGGCCTGTGGCAGGAAGTGTGCCAGGAAAGTGTGGGTTTTCCTCAGAGGACACATTTTCTCTCTTGGCATAGTGTGTTGTTTTCTTACTAGGTGTGAAAAATGATAATGTCCTACTAGTGTCCTTAGATTCAGTCTGATCTAATTCCGATGCAAGGAGAAACACTGTAATATGGTAAGCAGGTGCATGATAGGATTTACTTCACATGTCTATCCCTGCATTCTGCTGGTCAGGATGGTCATGGTGTCATGGTAAGTCAGTGCAGAGATTAATGTTGATTCTTTGCATCTAGGGAGAGAAGAAGTCAGATAAGGAAGGTGTAGTGAAGGTAACAAGACAGTTTATTAAAAAAAGAGGGCACACCACACTGCAGCACAGGCAGCAGACCCAATTGGAAACTCAGTAAACATTAATCCTGAGAAGAGCTCCAGGCTGGGCTGTGTGAGTATCTCAGAAACTAGCTCCTCAGGGAAAAGCTACCGATGCTGACAGGCCTCTGCCCTGTCTCTGTCGTTAATCCATCACTGACGGTAGCTGGCTGGCTAACATACTGGACCAGTTTCTCTTTTACTGCTTTTCCTTTTACTGTTCTTTTTCCCACCACCAAATGTCTTTGGGACTCAGACCATAATTCAATTATTTTCTCTTTCCTGAATCCACCCACATTGGTTATCTGAATTCTTAATTTCTCTCTTAAGCCAAACTTCTCTAGGAGGCTACAAAATAAAAATCCCTCCCTTTCACCTCTTCCCTATCTGGATACCTCTATCTAATCATCTCCTCTCATTAAAAACCTGCTCAGCAACCTCTCTCCCAATTCTCTTTACTGGCCTTGAAAACTGACACTTAGGAAGAGACAAAAGACACCTGGTGGGGTTTCTACACCCTCCCTCACTCTTCCACCAAGCTAATTCTTCTTCATTCTTCTAGGTGTTAAATGATTTCAATTCATATTCTGATGTGCCTTGCTAACAGAATTACTACCTCTCTTCATAGGCCATGTAAACTGAGACACAACCGCATTTTGTTAGCAGATGTCTAACCTTATTCTATTCTTAAATTAAAATCAAAGTCTACTAAGTGTTATGCCCCCTTCTGCAAGAAGGCAGTTGGGAGTATGAAGTCAGCTGAGAGCCTGGTTCAAACAACTAACCAAATGCCTTGCTAACATAATCAAGCCCTGAAAAAATGAGCTCCAGCTAAAGTGTTTTGTTAAAAAAGGTTTTGTCTTAAATCTTGATCATCTGCAAGAGTAAGATTGGAAAAAGTTCTCTTGCCACTAAAACTTTACTCACACATATGCATACATAGTTAAGATAAAAACTGTCAGCATGGTTAAAAAGGAGTCCCACCAGCTGTGATGAAGAAAACCACTAAGAAAAAACATAAACCAAGATTTTATATATATATATATATATATATATATATATATATTTGACTTCCAGGTATATTTTAGATATGAGACCCTTGTCTGTTGTATGGCTAGTAAAGATCTTCTCCCAATCCGTGGGTTTTCTATTGATCTTGCTAGCTATGTCCTTTGCCATGCAGAAGCTCTGCAATTTCATGCAATCCCATTTTCCAACCTTTGATTTGTTGTGTTTCTGGTTTTCTATTAAGAAAATTTCAGCCTGGGCCACGGAGACCTAGGGTTTCTCCTATTCCATCCTGTAGTATTTTCAGAGTGTCTGCTTTGACTCCGAGGTCTTTGATCCATTTGGAGTTGATTCTGGTGCAGGGTGATATATAAGGATCTAGCTTTAGTTTTCTAAGAGAAAAGTTAGCAAAAAGGTCTTGAAAAGGGAAACTGAGGAAACACCTTTGGATAAGAAATTATTTGGAAAGTAAGAATTGTCGTAAATGTTTGTTCCAAAATAGAAAAGAGAAATTAAGATAAACTCCGGAAGGTTCTAGTAGGTGGCAGATGGTATGAGCATGTCGTAAATTCTTAAAAGATAAAACTTATTAAAATTGGTATGTAATTAAGTTAGCTGTGATTTAAATACTGATGTAAAACCAGCATGTCATTCTTTATTTCCATCTAAAGTCAAGTGTCTTTAACCTGTCTGTGTGTAAATTTGTAAGCAACTGAGCAGGAGATTTGACAATTGGACACAGTCTCGCCCAGATCCTGCCTGGACCATCCTGACTACCTCCACCATGGTAGACTGGACTCCCACCTGACTCCATTACATGCAGCTGATTCTTGGTGAAAGAACTGCTTTAGATTTACAAAAACTAAGACTCTTGTGGGACACTCTGCAAACCATACCCATCCTGACGTGAAAAAGCTGTGCTATTGAAACAGGTGTAGGCCAGGAGAGCCTCTTGTGAACTTTGGTTGTCAGATTTTCCACGCAGCCAAGCTTTACTATATCTATGCTAAAAGTCTCATCCCATCTGTGAGTTTTGTCATTGAAGAGTTCTGGCAAGTATTTGTTGGTCAATTCTGGAGAGAGTACAGGTAAGCTCTACTTGTTCCCATTGATCTCCTTTTTGCTTTAATTAGAACTAACAAAGTGTTTTTGTGGCAAAGATGGCAGTTCAAAGCCAGTCCAGGCAGAAAAATCCCTCTGAAACTCTATCTCCCAACTAACCACCAAAGACCCAGGCTGGAAGCATGGCTCAAGAATTAACCATCCAAATGCTAAAAGTGGCACTGTGACTCAAAGTGGTAGGGTACTATCCTCAAGCAGAAGTGCTTAGGGACAGTGCCCAGGCCTTGAGTTCAAAGCCTGTGACTGCCAACTGGGATGAGTTATCTCAGCAATGAGCAAATCCAAGGATGAGGCCAGTCCTGACAATAAGGAACTGTGGACAGGAGTAAGAGGAGATGATGTCACATCAGCCACTTTGTGCCTGCCCTTTCAAAATTAACCAGAGCTGGGAAGTCAATGGAAAAAAGTTAAGAAGCTTTTCCATCTTTTTTTTTTTCAGATAAGGGGTAGGTTTATTCAGTAGGCCTGCTGGAATCAGGCAAGGTTGGCACACCATGTGGCTGGGAAAGGCATGAGAAAGAGAGAGAGCTGGGAAAGAGAGAGAAAAGAGCTAGAAAAGAGCAGAAAGAGCAGAGAGAGAGAGAGAGCAGAGAGAGAGCAGAGAGAGCTAGAAAAGAGCAGAGAGCAGAACGAGAGCAGAGAGAGAAGGGAGCTGGGAAAGAAAAGAGCTGAGAAAGGGTTAGAAAAACAGAGAGAGCAAGAAGCTTTTCCATCTACTGTCCATACCTGTCTACCTTCTAACTGAACAGGAATTGACATTTTTTGCCTTTGTTACCTGCTATTTATATCTATAATGAGTCTTGGACTCAGGGCTGGTAGCCTTGGCAACTCCCTGGGTCTCCCATACATACCCTGTAATCCAGACATCTACGAAGGCCTCCAATCAAGCCCCTTAACCACCCCAACCCAGCCCAAGCTTCAGTCTAGCCTGCTCTTCCCTACCTAGTTGTCAGATGTCCAAAGTAGCTAGGGACATTTTCCACCAACTCCAGGACTGCCAGGAATGCAGGAGAAAAAACTAGCGCATCTATCCAGGTCATCCAATTTTTAATTTTCTGCCCCCAATCCTTCCTTTTGCTGTTTGTGTGCTCTCTAATATTTTTATTACTGCCCAGCTCCTGCCTCATGAGATTTCTTCCAGACTTCATTCAAAAACTCATGTCTATCACCAAGGGACAGGCTGTTGCTTACTGCCTTCTCCCAGAGGGGACCACATGTCTGCACCTCTGCCTTTTACCCCTAATGTCAATGCCCCTTCCCAGCAGAAAGCTGTGTCCTCTTCCATATCAAAGGGCTGGAGATGTTAGATCCACCCAGGAAGGGCCCTGTGCAAGTCCCTGTCTGTAAAGGTCCAAGGCTGCCCCTCTACTGGATTCATCTTGGCGCATTGAGAGCCACTGGCCTAACCAGCTTTCTCACTCCTGCATCTACCAGACCAGACAAACCAACTTGGATTCATCTAGTTGCCCTCATGTCACAGAAATACCAGATGCTAAAGATATCAAGGGCAGAAACAACATCATCAGCCACCCTATGCACCACAAACAAGTAATATCTAACCCGTTTCCTCTTGGGATGGGTTTAGGAACAGCAGCCCTGCCAGACTGGCCCCTGTCTCATCAGATATTGATAACATAAATATCAATATGGAGAATCCTTCTCCTCCGAGTCCTTGCAGGACCACATGCATTATTACATCTGATTTCACCTGTCCCAAACTTTTGTCTGACGCAGGAACTGGAGATGGGACATGTGCTCAGGCCTTGCCTGGTTCTGGTGTGCAAACCTGTGGCAGATATAAATACCATCTATGCTGTCTCCTATAGTTGGGGAAAGCCTTCACATGAAAGATCAGCAGATGCTCTGATGTTATGCACCGTCACCCCCCCCCCGCCCCCGGTTCTGTCAGAAAATAACATTTGTGCCCAGGTTCAAAATTGCACCCTTGACTGTATAGAAGTAAAGAGGGACAACTGTGCTTGTGCCAACTATGAACACATCTCATATGCTAAGGGCCATGTTTCTAAACCCAATGGCTTTTTTTATTATTGTGAAAATACCATACAAAAGGGTTACAATTACATGGGCAAGATAGTGATTACATTTCTTATCAAGCATTGTAGCCTCCTCCTTCGTTTCCCCATACCATTCCTTCCCCTCTCCACCTCCCACCCCCACATCCCCCACAAACATCCCCCCACCCCCCACCCCACCAAAGCTGTAAAGTTTGTTTTTCAACATAAAGTCTTGTACATCTCATTGTTGTAATGGGTCCACCTGTAACCCTATTTAAACAGTTTATTTTTTCCTTTCCCCTCCACAAATTATATCAACATCAAATACAGTGAAAGCAGGGCTTATACCCTGGAGGAGGTATGCACAAAGCAACAAAGAAATCATCTTATAAATATGTTGGAAACAATCACAAGAAAGAAAAAAAATTTGAATCCTTATCTTGGGGTTCATTTCGCCTAACATCAACTTGTCTGACAGTTTGTTTGTCTCAGACATATACTAGTTATTGCAAATAAGGGAAACCATGGGACCTATGTTTCTTTGGGCTTGGCTTACTTCACTTAATATAATTTTTTCCAAGCCTTTCCATTTCCTAACAAATGGGGCAATGCCATTCTTTCTGATGGAGGCATAGAATTCCATTGTGTATATATAGCACATTTTCTTGATCCATTCATCTACTGAGGGGCATCTGGGTTGGTTCCATATCTTAGCTATTATAAATAATGCTGCAATACACATAGTCGTGCTGGTAGCTTTGGTATGGTCTTGTTTGTGATCATTTGGCTAAATGCCCAAAGTGAGATTGCTGGGTCATAGGGGAGCTCTATGTGGAGTCTTTTGAGGAACCTCCATACTGCTTTCCAAAGTGGTTGAACAAGTTTACACTCCCACCAACAATGCAGTAAGGTTCCCCTCTGTCCACATCCCCTCCAGCATCTGTTGTTATTAGAGTTCTTGATCTTAGCCATTCTAACTGGAGTGAGGTGGTATCTCAATGTTGTTTTGATTTGCATTTCTTTTATGGCTAGGGAGGTTGAGCATTTCTTCATGTGTCTATTGGCCATCCTTCTTTCCTCTTCAGAGAAGTCTCTCTTCAGGTCTTTAGCTCACTTATCAATCAGGTGGTTGTTTCTTTGAGGATTTGTTGTTGGGGGATTTCATTTTTTGAGATCTAAGTATATTTTAGATATGAGACCCTTGTTTGTTGTATGGCTGGTGAAGATCTCCCAATCCATGGGCTTTCTATTGATCTATGTTCTTTCTATTGAGATATGTTCTTTGCCATGAAGAAGCTCTGCAATTTCATGCAATCCCATTTGTCCAACCTTTGTTTGATTTGTTGTGTTTTCGTGTCTCTATTAAGAAAATGTGGGCCTGTGCCAAGGAGACCTAGGGTTTCTCCTATTCCATCCTGTAATGTTTTCAGAGTGTCTGCTTTGACTCCGAGGTCTTTGATCCATTTTAGTTGATTCTGGTGCAGGGTGATATAAAAGGATCTAGCTTTAGTTTTCTACAAGTAGTTAACCAATTTTGCCAGCACCATTTACTGAAGAGGCTGTCTTTCTTCCATTCTATTTCTTTTTAGCTCCCTTATCGCAGATTAGATGGCTATAGGTCTGTAGGTTCATTTCTGGGTCTTCAGTTCTATTCCATTGGTCCTGAGGTCTGTTCTTGTGCCAGTACCAAGCTGTTTTGATTACTATGGCTTTGTAGTAG